TACATTTTATGTAATTTGTCGCACATCTCACAAACTCAAACTTATGAAAGATGTTTAATACAGTTTGACCCGTCGGGGCAGGACGGTTTTCAATGCAAAAATGAATCGCCTAATAACCCCTTCAGCAGTATAACCGCCGTAATACCACTTTATCATTTGCACTTTTTCTTCAGTTGTATACACATACATTTTTAAGTTAAGAAGAAATGCCAGTTTAACTTACCACGCTAACGGATGATGTAATAATAAAAGAAATGAGACAACAGCAACGTGAGAGCAGTTCACCACGTGATCACAAAATTGATTATTGCAGTGTTGCCAGATTGTGAAAGTGTGATTATCAGAAAGTAACAATGAAATTACCAGATTTTAAGAAAAATTAGCAAAAACTTCAAATAATAGGCCAATATTCAAAAACTTTATTATAAAAAAATAAATAAACAAAAGTAAAACAATTACAAATAAGTATATTGAAGAGAAACTTTTCAAATAATAACAACTGGCTGTCAAGTTCGACTTCAGAAATTATATTATCATCTTCATTTTTGTTTATATTTTTCTATAATATTATGGAATTGGATGATAATTTCACGCATTCCGAACTTAATAAAATACCATTTATTTGTTCGTCATTAATTGATTTTTGGTTATAGGTTTGATATTTTTGGTTTTGATTAAATTACGTTAAACTTTGAAAAAATGCGTTTACATGTAGCACTGCGTGCAGTCTGCACTCATTGCAGATAGAGGGGTAGAGCTCTCATTTTTCGTGCAGTGTAGCATTTATTTTATAATTATAAAATAAATGAGCGTAGCTGCATGAACAAAATCTCGTATGCCGCCCTACTACTAACTAGATGTCGCCAAATGTTCATCGCAGTTAGTAAAATGGAACAGTATTCATTACATATTATGCACTTTACATGAAACGAACCACTAAAAACTACCAGTTAAAATTCCAAATTGTAGATTTTGGTAATTACCAGGCATCTGACAACACTGTTGTTTGTTCTATCTACAATAAACTTATTGTGAGGACTGGAGGCGTACCGGATCACATGTGGAAGGGATACAATGAGACGGAGAAAAGCCCTTGTCACTTTGTAAACACAATAACGTAGAAAAAGGCAACAGTGATACACAGTCTTTTTCTGTCGCATACATGACTGCTATTTTTATCCTTTATGCACAAAGCAGGCACTCTAATTAAACATTTTCCAATACTTTATATTGAAGGAATATGGAATATTACTTACACAGCACATAAATATAAAGTTGAAAAAAAAGGTTGCATACAAAAACCCGTTTTTTTATTTTGTGTATGTTGCAGATTTTATGTATTTTCCAAGTAGAAGGGTATGCCGATACCAGCATTACATTGCGCACCCGATAAGAGATCGAGCCGCTATTACACTGTAGATCTTGATATACGCTGCACTGATGGGGACAGTAATTCCAAAACACCGGTGTTCGTAGCTGCGTCGTGTTTCTTTTTGGGGTATATGGTATGATTCTCTTTTGTTTAATATCTTTCTTTGCGAATATAATGTTTATAGATGCAAAACGCATTCATTATACAAAAACATTTATTCGCCACAACGTAAACACCTCAAGAAAAATACTGCGCAAACTTTTCAAATGTTGCAAATGTACAATCGAGTTCATTCACACTTTTTAACTTACCAACACGTTGAGGTATGTCCTGTTTAGCTTACACTTATGATCGCGTGATTTAGTAACTGTAGTTCTTACCTTATAATTTAAAATTAAATTTTAAATGGAATCGAATAAAACAAAAAAAAAAATCAATCTATAATTTTTATTTTCAAATTTTAACAATTTTATGTTACAATAATTACTAATACGTACATTAAAGTTACAGACATTTTTTGAAAAATAGGTTGTTGGCGTTTAGACATTTAATGTATTATACAGGATATTAATAAACCTCAATAACACATGGATGTTTTTTAAAGTTAACTTATTGAAGTTAAGGCTGGGATTTCGCAACTGTTATGGAAGTTGACATTTATTCGAACAATTATAATTACACAAAATGTTATGATAAAAGTTGTGCTCTAAAATAAAAAAATAAAAATACACGTATTTTATCTTACTTTCAATGTTAGAGCATAAATTTTATTTATAACAAAAATTAACATATTAACATTTATATATTACAATTATTGGAATATTAGCTAATATTTCAAACTCAGCTCACATCATATTTGGCTTTATAATTATTTATAATAAATCAAAATAAATGTCTACTTTCCATACATTCTGCGAAAGCTCAGCCTTAAATGAATCCCAAAGCATAGACAACACTGTGTTTAGGACATGAGACATATGAAAATATTGTCAAAAAAGATTATATTCCAGATTATTTACTCCAAAGTGGAAACACCAACTATGAAATATGTTTAAGTTTTGAGGAAATAATGTAATAATTTTAATTTTAAAACTTAAACTCGAAACAATATGCTTATGGTGTTTCTGTTAATCTTTCTATTGAACGAGACAAAATGAATCCATACGAAACGGGAGATTTAGAATCACCATTACTCTTTGATTTTTGGCTCTCTTTTGAGGACTTCGATTTAGAAGGACGCGGACGTGGAGATCTTGATCTTGATTTTGACTTGGATTTAGATTTGGATCTGGTTTTTGATTTCATTTCATCCGAATCCGACTTTGACTTGTCAAGGGATGTATTGCTAATAACGGGTTTAACATTACTATTAAAATCCGTGTAGAACCTAAACTCTTCTCTAAAGGCCTCTTTAAATGATATCCTCGCTTTTTTACTGACTTTTAATATGTAAATGAGGTACTCAATTACAACAAATAATCCTGCGAGGATTGTCCCGTAAATTGTAACCCAGAAACAACCTTCTACATTTTTCAAGCCTAGTGGGGTAGCTTCTGGAGCCTCAGTATTTCCCTAAATAAAAAGAAAATTTAATAATATTAATTACAAAGATTTTACGCAATATATTTATACAAATATAGGAATTGCATTCAGTTTAGGTACCTATTTTTTAGTAGTCTTCAGAAGTAAGTTGCATTAAATTAGTAGAGTGTTTAATGCACCGAAATGTATCACTTTGTGGACACAGATAATATAAAATGAAAAAAAAAAACAATATTGACACTTACAGAGCATTGTCCTCCTCCTCTTCTCTCCTCCCACCATTTTCTCTTGAGTTCATCGATAACTTGAGATGCTTGTAATTTCAAAATTGCAGTACTTAATCTCTTTCGATATGGAGATTCTGTTGACATTTATTTAAATAAAATGGAGCTTAACTATAACATTTTATAAGACAGTGTCATAAACCAAAGTATATTTTTAATAATTTAGAAATAGTGTAGCATTTTATTTGATAAACTTTGTATTATTAATTAATTTAGGTATAAAAGCATTATTTTATATTTTCTATGGCTTAAACAAGGCACACATATTGAATCAAACATACAAAGACAATACATATACAAATAACAAACAGTTTGGTCTTTACACAGGGATGCTAGATCGTTAACGGACCGAGTGCCCGGCGAGGGCCATATACATTGTTCCCATTAATTGTTAATAAAATCGTATTGAATTTGAATTTGGTCTTTGTATGAAATGGAAGAAATATTCTCTAATTTAGTTCATTTACTAAATAATTTTAATACATTTTTTACACTGTTAAAGAAATATGACCGAACTATTTTGTTTATAATTATATTATTTATTATAGATCAAACTCTGATCGAGAAATGTCGATAGATTAAATATTTACCTTTTCTCATGGCAATTCCATATCCTTTCTCATCAAGTAGTCCGCCATATTGTTGTAAATCGCAGTGCCTTTGTGTGTTGTATTCAATAGAAGTAGATTCCATGAAGAAGGCATATAATTCTTCTTCTGCCTTTAGGACACCTTCATCATTCTCTTTAACACTATATTCTGGATGTTCTTTCAAGACTTGTCCAATTTTTTGAAAAATACCATCCTCTGCACTCTTGTCAATAAATAGAAAATATTAATTAAAAAACAATTTTAAGAGTTGTGGATAGAGCATAAAAGTCGAGATTTCACAGTTTTTGCCTGATTTTAAAATATCCGCTTATAATTTAGTTTATAATACTAGAATTGGAAAATATTTTTTTTCTGCCGCAAATATACCTACTATAATCGATTTAACTTTAACTTCTTCGTAGTAATCTAGAGTCAGCTGTACGAACTGGTTAAGTAAATTTTTGATAAACTTGATTCAAAATTCAAGTATACTATTGTTGTAGCAATTGTAACTGTGGATTTTAAAGTTTAGTTAACCTATGATTGGCCATAATCATACAATTCGGACATTGCTTAGCCAAGTTTAAATGAATTTGGTTTAAAATCTACAATGGTAATCTTGAATTTTAAACCACATTAATCTGAACTTTGGTTGAATTACATTCATACAAATGGCCCTAAGGCCCAGTTGTGCAAGTTTAGTTTTATCGGTAGCTTAAATGAACGACAATTCAACACAACTGCTGCTTTAGTTTCATATGCGTTGTTTGAACCACGTTAAACCTCAGCTTAATAAAGCCATTATCATGGATAAAAATATTGTTGGTAATGTTGGCGCATGCGTTATAACCAAATAAAACTTCTTGGTCTTCTAGGGTGTTGATTATGTTTAATTAACCCTAAAAATTCTTCATTATCTATTAAATTCAACCAAATTTTCCATTTCTAACAAAAAATTACACTTGTTGGAATAAAGTAAATCCAAAATCATTGTTTTAGTTGAACTCGGAGAAAATCTATAATATTAGTTGCTTTTCAAAACCTTAATTTGAGCATGGTTTATCTGTTGACACCACCATATCACAGTTAATAAAACCCCCTGTATCTCTGAAGGTACCTCAAGGTACCTTGTGTGTGAGGCGGCTAGAGACAATGGACACACATTCATTGTCCGAGTATGCTAGGATTAATTTCTGGTTTATAAAAAAATCCTAGCTCCTCGACGTGGATCAAACCCGGAACTCCAGTGTGAGAGACAAGTGTCCTTACCATTCGACCACGAAGCCTGTGTTAATACAACGCCAAATATTTCGAACCTCCTCCGGCTTAAAAATGACTTAAGAATAAACTTGGTTTAAGCTCTATCTACACTATTTACTTTATAATACAATAAACTCTATAAACTATTTTACAAGTTAAAAACACTATGTATTAACAATCTACCTTGCACAAAATCAAAAAACATACTGAGAAAACATGTTAATTATATATGAAGCAAAAATTAACACAAATTTGTCGCTAAAAATGTTTCCCACAAATAATTAAACACAAAAGCAGTAGAATCGTAAAAAAGGAAGTCACAGATACACTATTGGACTCGATTTCACTCAAGACCTGCGTTTAATGCGCTAAAAAGTAAGACAATTAGAGTTTATATAAGCAGGAAAGAGTTGATTGCATACTGCTTCGTTGCCACTAAGGCCGCCCGTCGCGATACAATGCGCAAGCGTATGCCGTATTTAGCAGTTGCGCAGAGTAACTGTCTTTGTCATGTACCAACTTTCTATTATTCTATCACCGTCTGCTACATTCAACGAAAGCTTTGAATAAGATCAAGTCCAAGAGTGTATATATATATATATATATATATATATATATATATATATATATATATATATATATATATATATATATATATATATACTGGGTGTAACAGGATCATGAAAAAATTGAATTTTTCCCCAAAAACCATTTTGATGGACTTTATTTGCTCATAAATCACGTAATTTAGTATTTTTGACGGAATTTCGATTTTTTTTAGCATTACACGGGCCATTTAAAATAAATCGGAACCGTCAACGCACACTTAAATGGAAAACTAAAAATTATATTATAAAAAACATTGACGTTTGAAATGCCATATGTATATAGGATATCCCAAATTTCAATCAATTATCTTTAAAACTAAACGAGAAAAGGGGGGTGTACCATGACCCTGTTACGCCCGGTATATATAAATAATTTTTTAATTTTTTTACATATATGTATATATATATGTATATATATGTATATATATGTATATATATGTATACATATATATGTATATCACTATTATATACAGAATATTTTGCCCTATAACATAGCAATGTAATGTCACAAAGCTGATAGTACGCAGAGGTTGGTATTTGTATAAAAATAATCTTTTATGACATGACTACTTAAAAAAAAATGTATTCACCGTAAAGAATCGCAGTGTCGCTCCACCTTCCTTGGCACCATATGTGATTTTATGCCCAGGGGCATTTTCATAAAGACTATGAATATCACTAAAAAGCTCTAAAGGATTTTCTGTCGCTAAGAAAGCAGCTAAGTTGGCTGTATAAGATGCCACTATGAGCAGGCAAAAGAACCACCACATTCCGGCTACCATTCTAGTGGACATAGCTCTGAAAACAAAAAAAGTGTTTAAATCATTATAAGTATTATAAATATATAGATAACTCACATGGGAGCAATTTCAGAGCCTTGACACATAAGACTACCAGTGACAAACCAAATGGAGTTAGCCAAACTAAACTGATTGATGAGATATTCAGGTTCTTCAACGCATGGGTAAGGATTGGTCCATTCATCTGGGCATAACCTTCCCATTATGTAAAGGGAAAATGCTACTACAAAAAATGCTACTGCAAGTGCAGCCCAAGTGTCTATAGCAAAAGGATCAGCGAATGAGAAGAAACTTGGAGGTGCAGTGAACGGCTTTCTGAAGAGGATACTGATTCCTAAAAATGTAATGCAGATCCGTTTAAGACAATTTAGGTGTTCGCAACATTCTGAAATATTTACTACTATAATATAGCTAAATACTACACTGTTTGAGTAAATTTCTTGACATGGAAAATTATGATAGGCAGAAGTTAATCCTAACTTTCTTTGTAGTGTAGGTATTCGTAAAAACTTAAAGGAAGCTTACACAAACAAGCAGATTCATATTTTCTCAGAGAGATAGGCGGCATTGAAGGCACTAAAATGGTGTAAAGTGACGTCAAAACTAGTATGATTAGGCCTAGAAGAACTTAAGATCCTGGCAGAATGGAATACAGTCAAGCTGAACTGGGTGCCAGAACATAGTGCTTGTAATATCAAACGGCACTGCAAGGGGTTGCGTATCATACTGGGTGAAAAAATAATATAATATATGCTGGAGAAACATACCAAGATAAAGGCACGGTAAAGCATTGATAATAAACCGTGCAGAAAAAGAGCTCAGCAAATGCGTACGCTAAGCAGGAACCAGATGAGAATTGTAATAAGATTTTTTACAGATTATTTATCAGTGAAGGAACACCTATAAATGGGATTGTATGAAGGTGACCTGGGATGTAGGTTCTACGTAGAGGCGCCGAAAATCGCGGAACGCATATTTTGTCAATGTGACGAGGCGCTGGGCCGCAAAACACAAAATATTTCTGGGGAAATGAAAACAGACCAGAGAATATTTGCACACAGATCAGTTATAGTACTGTATAGTATAACTAATCAACAACACAGGAATCACTGGAAGGGTATAGGTAACCAGGAAAGGACGAAATAAGCCTCCTTGGCTGCAGTGTCATTATGTATCAGGCAGGCGGATATGGAGGGATAAGAAAAAAAAGAAAAAAATCTTTTGGACCACTCTCAAGTCTGCTAAACTTGTATACTTCACTCAATGTGTAAGTGTGCTGGAAATGGATGCACTTTAGTTTCTTACAAGTGTCAAGTGGCTTTTTAAATATATAATAATTCATATCAAAAATTAATACTAACTTCTCACTTACTCTGCGAAATCCCCAAATGAGCAACACCGTCTTAGTAATTGATTTTAATTAATTAATAGGTTAATTTATTATACACACCTAAGGTCATAAAAGGAACAGTAAAATCAACAGCTTCTTCCCTATCAGAAGTTATTGTAAAATCCGTTATTGCTAGATCTGCTCTCTGAAACAGACATAAATTCGTTATTGCAGTTGTAAGAAATAAGGGTGTAATGAGAAAATATTATAAGCGATTTTGATATGTATGAAGACAAATTAGTGTAAAATTTTATTTCTCTGTTTATTGGTGTGAACAAATTTACTTATAGAAATATAAAATTTTTAAAGAAATTTTGAAAACTTAAAAGGTATATTCAGTGTAACAAAAATGCACTGAAAAACACATTCGTTACGTTAATAAAACTTCTCAAGGATGGATTCTATAATGCTTCTGTTCCGAGATACAGGATTATGACAGGCTATACAAATTTTGATTTCAACCAAAACGGTTTTTTGAATTTTCACGATATTGGACAATTGATTAGAGGTTATCTCAACTAAGCAACATTCTGACGGCAAACCGATGTTACTTTGCGATTTACAAATAAAAGTCGGTGTACGCCGTAAACGTACGCAGAGCCGTGCTGACCCATATCTGGTCAATAAAATATGGGTCGATTCGACATAGAGGACCGATTTTAGTCGTGATACCAACCGAATGTTTAATTAATTTTACAAATAAATAAAAAGCTTTTTTGCTTACTTTATTTGAAAAAAAGGCAAATTTTGTGCATCTAAACTATTTTTAAACACAATCAATATGGCCACCTCTTCTTTCGATCTATAAAACCAGACAGTATGACGAAGTTGGGAACTATTATCTAGCTATTTGTTGTGATAGTTCCAAATAAATACACGAATTCCGATATATTGTTGTGATAAGTGCAATTATTTAGTCAAGGTTAAAGAATTTTACTTGCACTCACTTTTAATAGGTTCAGGTGTATAAATTTGCATTAATACTAACGTTTATTCCAAACAATCACGCTAATACCAAGCTTGTGTTACAATTGGTGTATAAATCTTTACTAATTATCTACCAATACCTGCATTACCGATATTAATTTTGAGGTTATGTTAATCCAAGGACCAAAAGGTTCACACCAGCTTTATATCGACTTAGGCAGCCTTTCGAAAAATATATAAACCTACTTAGTCAGTCATCAACGTCTAGAAATTGATGAATAATTTCTAAAATAAATAAAAACCTACTAAGTTGCTTATTACCGTTTAACATTGTCGACTATTTTAGAACAGACCAAGCCTATTCAATTGATCACCAACGTTCAGCCAATTCTTTCAGACGATTCTATAGTTAATAAGTATATATTACGTCCGTCAATAATATCTAACCAACGTGGGAAGATTACCCAAAAATTACCTAAACCTACTTAGTCAGTTACCAACGTATAATCAACGTTGGACAATGATTTGAAAACACACCCAACTTATTAGGTAGATCTTTGGCGTCAAACTAATGTTAGTAAATGAGCTAGACGTAAATAGTAGATTTGCGAGGCTCGAGCAACGTTTCTACGACATTCTGTCATAACTATAAAACTTAAGGCGCTACTTGACTACTATTTGTAATAATTTTGATGTTGAAATGAGTAAAAAAGGGACCGGTAGTCGGTGAAATGTTACTTGGGAATAATTTGGCATTTCAGATCCTTTGTGAGAATGGAGACTAAGTACCTAAGTGGTTTATTATTAGAAAAGATTGTGACAATTTCGGAAAACTCTGAAACACAATTAATGGAGAAGGTATTCTTGTAGTACATGGCTAAGATGCATTGTTTTCAAAAACATGTGTTTTTGAACTCATTAGAGAGTAATTTTCAAAGTTCAATTAAATTTGTTAATATTTCTTTTAAGAATCTATTGGAGTATTTCTAACGTGTTCGCGGCAATTTATTATTCAATGTTTGGAAAGGTGTTGCGTAGCCGATTGAATGAAATGTTCATTTTAAATCTTGCGAGCGGACTTCCAGTCTTATAGTCTAGATAGACGAGTAAACAGATTGTTTAATTTTGCAATTCATGGTTTTCTGAAAAGGATTATAGTGACTAGGGTTATTTAATTATATACTTTTAAAATATAACGTATTGCTTCGCACCATGAGATGTTTTTCATATTGCTCATTTTAATTAACCTAGTTAATTCCTGATAAATACTTACATGCTCTAAGAGATCTCCAATCATTCCT